AACGATTTTCGGGTGAGAAAAAAAAATTCACATGAGGTTGGAAGAAAATAAAAAGGAAATTGAAATAATAACTCGGAAATTTTGAATGCTCATCATGAGTCTTGCTATTTCAAGAGTCATTATCTTCACGACAGTTTCATCTTTAAAAGGTTAAACGGTTTTGGAAATTCAGGAAAAATTAAGAAATTATTTGGAAGAAAACACCTTTTGATGGCGAAGCAAGGGAATGATGGACTACTGGGAAGGTAAATGATGTCTGTTTTGTTTTTTTTCTGGATAAATTCTTTTTCTCTTCATTCCAAGGATTAGTTTTTGAAATGTTCAATTTTAGGTTTTAAAGCTGATCAGTACAGAATAAAAGAAGAAAATTGAATGCTGGAAAATACAGGGAATGATGAGTAAGAGTAAAGGGAAAGTTTTCACTCAACATGAAAATACCAGACTATAATAGCCACTTAATCGCTTGCTGTAAGAAAAAGACAAATTCTTAATGGGTCAAAGCTTGAGATTATCTTAATTCTGTTACCATTTCAAGACATTTCTCTACTCACTCCCAGACCAGAGCATAAAAAAGGTCAACTCCCTGGCTTCAATTGCAACCTTTTTTATCTTCATCTTTTTCGCTTCCCAATTCATTGAATGTTACATTTTAAATCATTTACTCTAAGCGTGGAAAAAATCTTTGCTTTCAATCATGAACATTATGATTTGCACGGTTCTTACTGTCTAGATATTGACTCAACTCAAATAATCTATTGGGAAGGAAAAACTATTAAATTAAATAGCTTCATCTTATTTTGATAAAAGTCCAAGGAAAAATTTCTATTGAAGAAAATATCTCCAAATCTTTCAGTCAACTTGCACAATTTACTAAGTAAATGCTAAAGAATCCAACTCTACAGGGAGTTTTTTGGCACCAAGAACTGGGAGTTATTTTTACTTATGAAGCATTTGTTTAATGCTCACCAAAGCTAAAAAAAGTGCGATGAGAACAAGTTAAATTGATGAAAGAATTGCTATCAATTTCTCAGTTATCAGAATAAATCAGATGGCCATTTCAATTCAGTGCTTTGAATTTAGTTTTTTTCGTGAAAGATTCTCTGAACTTTTATCAGTTCCATACAATTGATCCTTAATCCTGATATAGCTAAGCAAGTCAAAGACTATTTCATTCTCAATCTAATCTTAATTTGCTGCAATTTCAAATGTAAGCCATGAAACTTGGAACTTTGCTCATTATCATGAAAAAAACATCGTACACTTTAATCACATTGAAACACACGCTTTTACACTCAACTCAATATTCAAATTTCAATCTCTTTCCAAGCATAAAATAATGCATCTTATAAGGAGAGAAAAGAACGAAAAGAAATGGCGAAAATTCTCATCTTCATCATTCTCATCTTGTTCATCCAATTTTCTCCTTTTCTTCTTCCATTTGCATCTTCATTTTGCAATCTCATCCACTTAAACCTTTTCCTCTTTTACATATCATTATAATAATATGCTTTTGATTCTATTTTATCATTATCATTATCATCATAATAATCATCATTATTATCTTTCTTTAACTCGCAGCTCATTCAATATCTATCATTTCATTATCTATCTCATTTTATTCCTTCTTTTGACGTAACAATTGGTTTGGAGTAAAATAAAGATGGAAAGAAGAAGGGAATGAGAAGAAAATTATGGCAATGATTATTTCAGCTTTATTTTCATTCTTTTCTGTTTTCAACTCTTTTGATTTATCCAACCATGATCATGGTTATCATAATGTGGCTAAAATTGAATCTTTTAATGTATTCAAATTGATAGGTTAGATAAAGCTTTATAAATATCACAATTCATCTCTCATTATTCAAATTGAAGGAAGGCAAAAAAAACAAAATCATAATAATTGAGATAATAAGGTTGTGACAGGAGAAAAGGAAAAACAAAGAAATTCTTGATAAATAGCAAAATGAAATTTATTAAAACAAATGAAGTTTGAATTGCATAACTATGAATTATCTCTTCAAGAAAACCTTGAGCATTGAGATATTTATTTTATTCATGGCTGGGAGTGCAATAGAAACTTATTCTTTGAATTATGCAGGGAGTTGAACAGGAAGTGCCACAGGGAGTGAGACTGGGAGTAAAGTTGGGAGTAGGACTGGGAGTTGAAATGCAAGTGTCGTTGGGAGTTTAACAGGAAGTTATACGAGGAGTGTTTCTGGGAGTATAGCAAGGGAATGATGCTGTAAGGGATACTGGGAGTGATAAAGGGAGTGAAATTCTTGTTTAGGTTCGCAGGGTAAATACAATATGAGAAACTGTAGAGATGTTGAGGACAAAATTGATGAGAAAATGCTTGGCTCTGGGAATGATTGCTTTTCAGTTGAATGTTGAAGGAAAAAGTTGTTATTTGACTCTGGTCAAAAACTGGCAACATTATCTTCCGATTCGGAAGGAAATAGACCAAAAGTATCCTCATCATTTCTTTTCCAAGTTGTAAACAGTTAAGTGTTTAAGAATCTTGAGAAACGTTGAATGAGAAAAAGATAGCAAAAAAGTAAGATCTAATAGCGAGTCTGATGGAGAAAATGTTACCAATGAGTTATTCGTACTGGACTGGACTGACAAGTAGACATGAAGATGTAAAGACAAGAATAATGTTCAACTTGGAAAGCAAAGTCATGAACCTTTTTATTTGCTTATCTTCAACTTGTCAACTTTTTGCTTCTCACCTTCAAGATAATGTTGCAAATTTTTTCATTCCATTTCCTTTCCCGGATCGATATCAAGCTGGGAGTGGAAAACGTTGAAAATGTTTGTTGCAAGTGAAAATTTTCACTCGGCGAATCACTTCATTTTTGTCGTTTCTCAATTTCATGCAAAGTAATTAAATATTTATTGATGACTTAAACTTGGCTCTACCATAATTACTCGAATCAAGTTTCAAGAATTTTAATTATCCATTCCGAAAAGATAGATGATCTTTTCTTGCTTCATTTTTCACTCTACTTGATGGTGAAAATTTTCATCTTGTTAACTCCCATTCAAGCAAGGAAATTGAAGAAAAGAGGGAAAAGAAGGAAAAAAAAGAGAAACGACGAAAGTTTCACTTTCACTGGATGCTAATTATTTATATATTGATTAAAGTCTCGAGTCTTGTTGAACCATCAAGTTAATTGATTATGATTGTTATTTACTGCGAACCGTAAGTCTTTCAATTGTCTCTTCAATCCCTAAGAATGTAAACATTAATAAGAGTAAAAACAATGGTATCAAGTATCAAGTATTAATAACGAAGAAAAGAGAAGAAGAAGGAAAAAACGAAGAAAAAGACGAAGAAGGCAAGTGATGAGATAATTGAAATAAGAACTCGAAACTTCTTTTCCTCGAAAACTAGGCCAAAACTCGAAGGTCAAAGATGACAGTCTAAATAAAAGTCAAGATTAATTGCAAAGATTTCAACGTTTTGAAGCGACAACAAAATGAAATTAAATTTTCAATTGAAATCCTTTTCTTTAGATTCAAAGAGCAAAGTGAAAAAATTGAAGGCAAAGTTGGCTTCTGCAAGTCGCTCAACCAGTGCTCGTCCAACCTCCACAGGTGATTCAAATGGTGATCCCATGGTAATCAATGAACTCGACTCTTCACCCGGTGCTGTGGCTGATCGAACCTTTGACTTTCCAATTCGATATCCAAGGTCGATTGAAAGAGCAATTACAAATGCCATGTTCATAGCTCAGCACATTGACAATGCCGATGAATTTGAAAGTGTAAGTACGATCCAGAAATGATTAACTTTTCCTCTTCTCATTTCACCTTTTCCTTTTCACTAAACTCGAGTCAACTTTTTGCTCAACTATCGAAATTTATTATTACTTGTTATGAATAGAAATTTTGATTTTCGTTTTTTTTGTCTTTTTTGTTCGCTCATTGCTTCCAAGACTAAACTTTATTGATTCATTGAGATAGAGTAAAGGCTCAATAAACAATCAAAAACTTTGTTATCCATAAAAATCCAAGTAAATCCATTAATATTATCGCAAGATTAAACTTGTTATTATTCTCAACTAATCATGTATCTTATTAGTTTCACCTCATTCAAGAGTAAACTCATAACCTTTAATAACATTACACTTGGATGAACTTTTTTTCTTCCTTCTCTCTTCTCATATCTCAACCAGAATTTAAATTATCGTTAAAATTGGTAAAAATAAAGAGAAAAGGAGAGAAAAAGTTTTCTCAACTTTTTTTTCTCCAAATTGTTTTCTTCTTCTTTTTCGTATTTGTTCAATTGATTGAACCATTTCGACTCTTTACAGGTCAATATGTATTCATTGTATTAGTATGTTTACTTTTAAACTGGAAGAAGAAGAAAAAGGAAAAACTCAATTTTTCGCTTTTGGAATAAATTTATTCTTCGTTTATTCCACTCTTTTGGTCAAACTCAGTTTACTAATAAACTTTGTCAATGCTTGTATTATAAAGCCAATCGATTGTCAGGGTTAAGAGCAGGATAAATACTCTACTTGTTCAATCTTATCGAGTCAGCTTTAGGTTCAGCGAGAAGGAAGAAGAAGGAAAAAAAGATGAAAATAATGTACTTTGAGTATAAGAAAATTTTCCTATCCAGAATCAAGTGAATGAAACTGTATAAAGAGGAATAAAGTATGGATTAGTCGGGAAGATGGAAGAGAGAAAATGTTATTAGAACATTTTGGTATCAAAAAATATCTCAAGGATGAAGATAAGAGATGAAAGAGTCAAGAATAACTTGGCTGGTTGATAAAGATAAAGATGATAATAAGGAGAAGCAGGAATAAGAATTATACTTTTCTTCATCTTCTTGAGCCTAAAGAATAAAGTTGAGCCGAAGAGAAAAAAAGGAAAATGCCAAAGATTTCTTATCCATTAAGAATTAAGTGGCAATTCAATGTTTAATCTAATTGGTATAATATAACATTGAAATGCCTAGCATTTAATGAAATATTATCTTATTGTGAATAAAAAAGGAAAATTTTGCATTCGATTTGCTTCTTCTTCTTCTTCTTTTTCCTTTAGTCGATTCAATTGAATTTCAATTTACTTTCAATCCAATTAAGATTAATACGATTACTCCAAGTCTTGAGCTTCTTTTGTGGTTAAAGACAACCTTTAATACTCGAGTTTACCAACAAAAGGTAATCAATCAAATGAGAAATTGTTTAATCTTCAATTTTGAGTTTCAAAAAATCGAGCAACAATTTGTATCAAGAACAACTCTTTCTAATGTTAATATTTTTCATTACGAGTTATTACAAGTAAACTTTTGTTGAACCCAGAAAATGATTATGATTTACTGGGAAAAGGTGAAAAGTGTTAAGAGGAAAAGAATGATGAAAATTGTAACAATCATTATAATGATAATGATAACCATAATGAGAGCCATTTGAATAAAATTATCTGGTTAACATGAAATGTTGTTAGCAACTTGCCTTCTCCGTCTTTTTGCTTCAACATTTCTATTTTTACTCTTTTCTTCTTCTTCTTCACCTTATATTATTCCTTATTATTTCATATTGATACTGATAAAGCAACTTTAAAGGCAACGTTTAAGGAGTAAAATGAGTTAACGTTTAAATGTGCTTCTATGGCAATCAACTTTTTATTTATCTTATTATCATTATTATTGCTCTTGTTATTGTTATCATTATTATTATTTTATTATTGTTGTTGGTTTAGATTTAGCTTTTAATATTATTAGTCTTGGTATTAGTTATGTTTACTGGTTATCCATTTTGTAGCTTTGAATTATAATGGGAATTGAAAGTAATTTATCTTTTGGAAACATTTTCCTTGTTTTTTTTGCTAAAGCTTTGCGCGCTCAATTGAAACCATTGTTAACCAAAATTGAGACCTAATTTTATAGATTTACATTTGACTAATTTTTAGACTTTGGGTTTTATGTTTAAAGGGAAATTGATTGTCAATTTAAACCAACATTTTACAATCATTTTGTTGGTTTGAGATTTTGATTTCTTTAATTGAATGTTAATTTTCTGGTTTCTTTTCTGGTTTAGATGCGAGAAGATTGGAAATATGTTGCTCTGGTCTTGGATCGGATATTTCTCTGGTTCTTCACTATGGCCTGTATTTCGGGTACTTTTGGTATCTTTATTCAAGCTCCATCTTGGTATGACAAGACTCAACCGATTGATGTTCAACGATCTCATATTGCCAGGACTTATGTTGCTGATTTTCCCGAGTTATCTGAGCTTATCCAGTGATGATCAAATGCTCTTAAAAGGCTCTTTATTGTTGCGGTTATTGAGCATTTTGACAATGAATTTGAAGCTCAAATTTGATTTATTCATTGTATTAAAATGTAAATTTGTCTCAATTGATATACTATTTTAATACCAAATAAATGAATCGTAAATAAAGATTTTCTCGTCTCATTTTTTATTGTACTTTGGAAACAGAAATTTCTATTTCCATTAGTGAATTAGTATTGTTGGTTGTAATTTTTTAGTAAATTTTTAAAGATATTATTTTAGTTTAATGCGATTAAATGTATTTTGTGAATTAAACTGATTAAAATGAAATAAAACCTTTAGATTTGCTTTAGAGTTTGTTTTATGGGTTTACTTTGTTTAAACTTGGCGCTCTCTGCACATGCACCTTTAGGTTTTGGTTTGCTTGTTTACCCGGGAAATCATCTTGTTTTGTTGAACACTTCTCGTTTGGTGGATTTGTTTTTCTTCTTCTATTTTGTTCAATGGGTGTTTAGTTGATTTGTTTAAATTTAGTTTGTTTCTACATTCATACTGGCTTAATTCAATCTAAATGTCCAATCGACGCAAGAGACGTAGTAATCAAGTTGACCAGGAGCTTAATGATGATGCTCCAGATGAAAATGTTGATGGTCCTTTCTCTAGGGGTTCCATCATCAGGATTCGTCTTAAAAATTTCATGTAAGTTTAATTAACCTATTTATTTATTATCTTAAGACTCTAGATTTGTCAGGCTCTAAGTCTAAATCGTTTATTTTATTCGGAATCTTAATTGTCATTGTTTGTGAATTCATTATATACATATAAAATATGTTTTCATTTTTTTCTCAGGACGTACAAGAGTGTGGAACTCCATGCTGGGCCTTATTTGAACATGGTTCTGGGTCCAAACGGAACTGGTAAATCAGCTCTAGTTTGTGCCATAATTGTTGGTTTAGGAGGAGATCCTTCAGCCACCGGACGTTCCGGCCAACTTAATGAGTATATTCGATTTGGTTGTCCTTACGCTCAAACCGAGATTGAATTATTCAATCCATCAGGTGATAATTATGTTATCAAGAGAAAAATTTCTACTTCTGGGGATGGTAAAAGTAAATCGGATTGGTTATTGAACAAAGTGCCAAAAAAGTTATCTGAAATTAAGGAATTGATATCAAGCTTAAACATTCGAGTTAGTAACCTGTGTCAATTTTTACCTCAAGAGAAAGTGGTAGAGTTCGCTCGGATGAATCCTGTGCAGCTATTGGAAAATACTCAAAAAGCTGCTGGTGATGAAAACATGTTTACCACTCATGAAAAGCTTATAAAGTACAGCGATAAGATCAAGGAGCTCCGTAAAAAGAAAGCCAATTTAGATCAACAACTAGCTACTGATCAACACTTAACTGATCGTTTGATTGAAGCGGTTGAACGAGTTAGAGAAAAGGAGCAATATGCCGAGAAATTGAGTTGGTTACAAAAAAAGAAGCCTTGGCTCGAATTCGAGCAAGTTCGACAAGAATATGTTGAAGCAAAGGCAAATTTGGAGAGACGAGTTAAAGAATACGAAAAGAGTAGATCTCAAAATAAGCCTTTGGAAGAGAAAGTCGACAAGGAGATTTCTGCCATCAATAAAGCAATAGCTGAACCTAAAGCGTCTTTAGAAGAGCTCAAACCTCCACTTCACCTGGTTCCCACTCACAAAAAGGGAGGAAATAAATTAAGTCATAAGAACAATGAGGCTCAGCCGACTTGGATGGAAAAAAGAAAATGAAGAAACCAGAATAAAAGATGTTAAAAGTTAGAATCGGAAAAGAGTTTGCTTCAAGAAAGACTTGATGCATCAGCTGACGAAAACTATGCTAGCCGAATCGAAGAGATCGAACATGAAATAACGGAAAAACATACAAGCCTGAAACAGCTTACAATTAGCAAGGATAAAATGGTCCAAGAAATTGAAAAAATGAAAGAAAGATATCGACAACTCAGAAGTGAAAGAGATCAAATCATCAATGTTGAAGTGCGAAGACGAGAGCTTCTCAAAAGAACTGATCCAAAGGTTTGGGATGCAGCTGAATGGCTTCGTCGTAACCGAGAAAAGTTCAGTCGTATGATCTATGAACCCATGATGACTCAAATAAATGTGAAATGTGCTGAGTGGATTTGCTATGTCGAAGCTACTATTCCAAGACGAGATTTGGTCGCATTTGTTTGTGAAGATATAGAGGATCTTAAAAAGTTTACAACCATGTTGAAAAGAGATAATCTCAATGTAAATGTTGTTCAAGCCCCAGGTGCAGATGATGTGAACATGGACCCCAAGCTGCCTATGGATGATCTATCTCCTTATGGATTCAAGCATTACATCAAAGATTTGTTTGATGCTCCTGATGCCATAACCCGATATTTGTGTAAAAATTATAATCTTCATAATGTTCCTGTTGGTGATGAAGATGTAGATTCAAATCGATTCCTCAGAGAAAATAGTCAAATTCAAAGATTCTTTTGCGGTAATACATCTCATTCTTGGACTGTTTCTCGTTATGATAGAGAAAAGGTTATCTCAACTGATCGCTTGAGAGACCCATCTCTGTTAGTAATGATTGTAGATAATGTTCGTAAACGCCAAATCGAAGAAAGAATGGAAGCTATTCAGTCCAAAGGAAAAGCGCTTGAAAGTGAAAAAGCATCTATGGAGGAAAAGATCGAACATTTACGAAGCCAAATGTATTCTCTTCGTGATACGAGAAAACAATTGATCGAAAAAAGAGACGAGAAAAAAATC